TTTATTTCAGAGCTCCGTTCCCCTCCCCCATTTCTGAAGAAGGGTCCTGACCCGAAACGACAACTTTCCTGCTCCTCTGATGCTGCCTGGCCTGCTGTGTTCATCCAGCTCCACACTGTGTTATCTGTGACTCCAGCATCGGCAGTTCTTACTATCTCTGAGTGAGTTTTCCACTGAGGTATTTTGTTCAACCTGCCTCATTTCCCATTACCAGATCCAGGATAGTCTGTTCCCTGGTTGGCTCCACAACATACTGTCCTGGGAAACTCTCTCTAATTTATTGTTGTCACTACCCTTTCAACTTGTTTAACCCAATCAACACGAAGATTAAAGTTACCCATGACTATTGCTCTATTCCTTTTACATGGTCCTATTATTTGCTGATTTAAAACCATTCCCACAGTACGGCTACTATTTGAGGCCTGCACACCACCCCTACCAATGTCTTCTTTCTCTAGCTCATTCTTTATCTCTGCCAAAATAGACACTACATCATTCTCTCAACTGTCCTCATTTCATCTCCTATTAACAGTGCTATCTTGCCACTTGTTCCTTCCCTCCTGTCTTTCTGAAAGGTCAAATATCCCTGTACTCTGTGTAACCGTGCCTCTGTAACGGTCTGCAGACCGTATCCATTTACTCGATTCGCACCATCAGTTCATCTATCTTATTCCAAATGCTTTGTGCATTGAGATACAAAGACTTTAAGCTGGCCTTTTTTACCATTTTTAATCATCCTAATTTTTCTTTGTACTGTGGACATATTTGCCTCTCGCCCAGTCTATTGTCTTTGCATTTTACTGTTCTGCTTTCACTACTGTCCTTGTTTCTCTTTCCTTTGTCACCCTGCTTAGGTCCCATACCCTGCCATTTAGTTCAAACCTGCCCAATCACAATAATAAGTGCCTGTCATAGGACATCCAAAGTAATCTATCTGTATTGCAAGGGAATAGCCATAGGAGGTTCCTGCACAGCCCAGTGGTTATCCATTCCCTTCCTGCCTGTGGAGTCTCTCTGTGTGACTGCCTCTCTGTACCTACCCATGATACACTCAGCATCACAGATTCTCCACAGTGTCCCCAGCAACTGCTCTCGCTCTGAAACCCGGGCTTCCAGGAGCTGCATCTGGAGAAACTTCCGGCAAACATGCTTCTCGGCCTTCAGGCTAAGCTCAAATGTAAGCTCAGAGTTTCGAGTCATTTAGAGGACTTTGAGATCATCACTGGATCATGATTGGACATTGGAGGTTCATTAGTTGACCTGTTATTGGTGGATCTTCATGCTGGCTTCGGCCCAACACCAATTCAGGATAAAGCCAACCTAGAGCTATCACCTCAGCAAGCACTTGTAGCCCAGGCCAGGGTGTACATAACAAAGTCAGGGTGACTGTGAAGAAGGTGGAAGAAGGCATATTGGTCAATTACACCTTCTTCATGTAGGGCTGATGTGTAATTGCTGAGAACTGCCTATACATTCTCCAGCATACTGAGACAAACGTCAACTGTGCCTGGAGGACCATCAACTAGTTAAAGGATGCTCTTTTGGTCTGCCTGAAACTTGTTGGTCTTCCAGTGTGAGGAGTTGACCTTGTCTGAGTGTTGCAGACTGGCACATTCCAAGGTCCAGGACTCCATGCTGAGGGATGCACTAAAGCTTGGGGCAGCTACTGCCAAGGCTCAGTGGAGAAAGACTTTTGACCGAAGTACAATGGGGGTCTGTTCAGTTATTGGACCCTCCTGGTGTCTCAAATATATGTAAATAGTATCCTGCATAAGTAAGAAATGCCTTGGATTTGTTGGTTGGAATTGCCAGGAAAGTCAAACTCCAACGTTTGTTTGTTCTCCATATGCCAAGGCTGTATAGAACTGGACTGCTCCCTTGACCATGTGTATTTATAAAGAATTTTTATGAATAAAGTATAATTTTGAAGTGTTTTTCATTGATGCTGGGTGGGGCTGTTTAAACAGATCCACTTAAATTATGAAAGGAGTAGAGATTAATTTGTGAAAGGCTATGTCTATAGTTCAGAAGAAGGGGAATAGCTTTAATACAAAGTCCAGATAAGAAAGAGCTGGGTCCATAAATCCCTCCCTTGCCTTTGGTACCTCCTCCAATCCTCCCTTTGAAACCTGCCTTACTCCATAAAGTGGGGGAATTCTGTGGGTCAACAAGAAAAATAGGCAGAAGTGGATCAGCTGTTGATTATAATAGAAAGGAACACTGGAAGAGGAATCAACAGTCTATGTGCTCTCCTTACTCCCTCCCGCACATACATACACCATCGCTGATGTTGACTTCTATGCCCTTACAGTCACTGCTCTGCTCTCCCATCATCTAGCTCTGACTGGTTGCATGTGGTCCTGTTTGTTCACTTTACCATCATGTCTAGTACCTTCCACTCTCTTGTCCTACCACTCCAACTCCCTCTGTCTTTGCTACATAAATTCTCACCTTCAAAAGTCCCTTTAAAACCTTCCTTGTCAACTATGTATTGAGCCATTTCCCCGAGGTGTCTCTCCTAGTTCTGACTGACTCTGACATTCTACAACTTTTGAGGGATTGTTCTTAAAAAGCAGTTTTCAGGAAAATGGGAAATGTCGACCTGAGCGGGTGCAGTAATTAGAAAAATATTACAGTATACAATGCAGGAAAAAGCAGGGAAATGGTATTCCAGTGGATAACTCCAACTGAGTTGCGTGGATTCTGTAAAACCAACTCGACAAAACCATAGAAATAACTGCAGGTGACAATGAAAATTTAAGACAAACAGCTCCAGCTTCAGATCATACAGAATTCTTTAACTAAACAGAGGCTTTCAAATAGATGATCGGTATAAATGACAAGAATGAGTTAGCAAGAGAGAGGGGGAAGAGATCTGGCCTTTAGTGGGTGGGGACCAAAGACAGATCTCAGTCTAAATATCTCTGCAGGATGACCTCACCAATTCTCTATCTGTCCACACCCACCTAGTCATATTTGTGGCCACGGCTGAGCGTAAAAGACAATACGAAATTAACAAATTCCATCTGAGGTGCCTCTTTGACATTCACTACCCACTTACCTTCAATCTGCTTTATTGCCAAAAGGCAGTTTTCCCGACTGGGAAATACGAACGGATTGTTACAGGTCCGAATACTGTCACACTCGCACTTCCCATTGACGATGTTGCAGCCTGTTGCTAGGTTTTCATTGCAGGGCTCGATTCCAATAAGTTGGTCGTCTTCCCAGCTCTCATCTGAAAGGAAAGTATTTTCAGAACACAGTCAGGATCAAAATAAGCCCACAATTTGCATGTTGCTGCAAACCATGCTCGAGTATCAAACAAGTCACAATCTTGGCACAAGTTTAGTCACCAATTCATTGCGAATTGCTCCCAAAAGCTTGTTTATATATGACACATGTGGGGGTTCTGTCCGATTCTCAATAGGCAACTACTTTCCACGTTATTTGGCTTCCAAGTTTGTTTCTTAAATCTTCCTTCCTCAAAATCTTTCAAATTTAGTCAATGCTTTAAAAGGGCAATATCAGAGTGAGATGTACTCAATCAATAAAGAAACGCAAATACACCATGTGTGCCCTACAATATTTAAGTTCTGAAAGGCAGAGTGCCTGAAGAAGTAATTAGTAATTTAAAGGTTCCAGCAGCCACTACCCCTTAATAATAATGACATAAACCATCATTTTAAATGTGTGGCACAGATGTCAACATGGACAGCAGGCAAACGTGTCACTGGTGAGCATTAAGTTATTCACAATTATGCATGCATGCCTGGAGGTTAATTTTCAGTTTACTCATTCCAAATGTTCTTCAGTTCACAAGCAGCATATCAAATCATGGCAGGTACAGATTTAAAAAGAAAACAGAATTATCTTTTCCCTCCCCTTATTGCCAGCCACATTTAGGAATTTGACCTGGAACCTTTTCACACATTACTAAAAGATATGGTAGAAATATTTAATTAAAAAAAGGGCAAGATTTTCCAAGGAATTTTATGAAAGAAGAAAGCTCCACATTCCTGAGAGGAGATTCCTATCAGGGCTGCTTCAGAGTGGAACTATACATTCATTCTGAAGGTTACATTGGCCTTGGAGGGAGAATAATGCAGGTTTGTAAGAATGATATCTGGGCTTCAGGGGTTGGATTATGCTGAGAGACTACAAAAATTAGGCCTGTTTTCTCTGGAATTTAGAAGGTTAAGGGATGATCTGATCGAAGTCTTCAAGATATTAACAAGAAAATGCAGGCCTGATAAAGATAAACTACTTCCAGTGGTTAGGGATTCTAGAACTAGGGGGCACAGTCTGAGAATTAGGGCCAGACCATTCAAGAGAGATGATAGGAAGCACTTATACACACAAAGGGTAGTAAAGGTTTGGAACTCTCTCCCACAAGTGGCAGTTGATGCTCGATCAGTTGTCAATTTTAAAACTGAGATAGATAAATTTTTGTTAAGCAAAAGTATTAAGAGATATGGGCCCATGGCAGGTACATGGAGTTAGGCCACAGATCATCCCACTGAATGGCAGAACAGGCTTGAGGGGCTGAACGGCCTACTCCTGTACCTATGATAGCTCTTTCATAGCATAGAACAGTTGGGGGGAAGACAAACTACACCACTTGCCCCTCCCTTTTCACATCTATCCACTGTTCTGTTCTAACACTGACAGTTGCTGTCAATTGATAAATACATAAGGCATTAGGATGCTGGGCGGGTAGGGTGCCAGATGGATACAGGGTTAGGGTATCAGTTAAGTAGGGTGCCAGGTGGGGAGGATGCAAGCTGAGGAGGGGGTAGGGTGCAAGGGGTAGGATGCCAGGTTAGTATCGTGCAAAGTGGATAGGATGCTAGATGAAAAGGGTTAGGATTCCAGGTAAGTAAGGTGTCAGCTGGGGAGGGGGTCCAGTGCTGGGATAGAGTGCCAGATGAGCAGGGGATAGGATGCCACGTAAGTAGGGAGCGGGTTGGATAGGGTTCCAGCTGGGTAGGATGCCAAGTGGAAAGGGGGTAGGGTGCCAGATGTAATGTAGTATTTAGTGTAGGTCATGTTCGGGGGGGGGGGGGCAGAAATCGGGTCTGTTGGGTGGGATGGGTGCGTTGGGATCCGGCAGCAGGGGATTCTAATCGGATCCTAGGAGGCTGTTAGGTCAGGGTCTGGAAATGTAGAGGTTCTGAGGGAGGTGTAGCTGGGGAGGAGTGTGAAGTATGGGGTCATTTTAATAGCTATTGAGGAGCTACAACGCGGTTTTAAAATCCTAACTTTTCCTGAGCAACTATTTTACGTAATCTCACTGGAACACTCCAATGCTCTGACTGAAGTGGAGACTTGAGGGTTCCAGATGTAAAAGAACTGCCCAGAGGAAGATTCAATTTCCTGAACAATCCCTTTGGAATGTGCTAGGATGGGAATTCCACAAGGTCCCATGTGCAACTCCCATTTACGCTGTAATGATGACTGCCTGGCCATTGAAAAATTCCAAGCAAGTATTGCAATTTATACTATATTTTGCATTTGTTGACATATTTAACTTGAATTCTATTTATAACCTTTTTGTTCAATTTTCTCCTCTCGGACCTGCTCAATTTGCTCCTCAGGTAGCAGTTCTGCAGTACTGCCCCCAGGTGTCCATTTTACATCAATGCTGACAGGTTTCTGCTGCGTCATAGCAGCTCCAGGTCATGTCTACATTTGACTAGACTCTCTAACTCACTGCACTTGACTTGGGGCAGGAGTTCATACTGTCTCACTATCCACCTCAAGGGTTGTTAAGCTCCTTTGCCCTATCTGAAGGGACAACTGACACAGCCTCATTGCTCCTCTGGCTGAGATCTGGTGTCTCGGAGAATACGGGAAGACAGATGTCTATGGTTCAGCATCTCATCACTCCCTGCATTGGCCCACCAAGGCCACCAGGGGAGCTTTCTCATAAATGTTCATCGTAGCTACTTATACCATGGCATTCCTTATCAGTTATAAAGCATGCATTTCATGGAGATAACACTAGTGAATTCTATGACAGTGCAAGAATTAAAAGAAAGCATTTCACATAAAATAAAGTAACAACTTAATTTCATGCTGCAAAAATGGAAATAGCATCAATTAATCAAGCAATTATACTGGCAGAGGATATTTGAACCACAGCTCTTTGAGCAGAGCTACCTGCTTTAATCTTATTTCCCAACTTTTTGCTGACCATCCTGTGACATCCTTCCTTTACAAACATGTAACTGATTCTTTTGTGTGAAATGACTTCTTCCAGCTTCCCCCCCCCTCTAGTGACACGAGCATATTGGTGTTCCCCAAGTCGCAGGAGAGGCCAGACAGAATATTAGCTCTTCTACTCAGCATGTTTCTTCCCCTTGCTGGCCCTGTCAGTATCTGAGTGTAGCGCAAGTCACCAGCTGGGAGATAACACCACTTGTCTTTCAGTTAACATACTGGCAGTTCACACACTCTATTACAATAAATAGCACTTATATCTTTTTCAATAAAGGATGTTGAGGTACTAAGGTGGTGAATGGATATTATAGAAAAATGTAGCTGTGAAATTTACCTATATTACAATAGTTTGATTTCCTTTTCAATTTAAAGTGGAGCCCAAGTATAGGGCATGGTGATAAATCTATCTGTAATCACGATGGCCCATATCTCAATGATCACATCATTTTCACAGCATACCAGGCTTGTCAGGTGTACAAAACAATTTCCCTCTTCCTATGACAACATTCTCTTCTGCACAGGATTCAAGCAATTGTGTTCAAACTTACATCTCACCTCAGCTGCCAGCATACCCTCGAGAGGTGTAAAATACATTCACTCTGTTTGCACCTCCAAAGGTATTGCCTCATCAGTGAAGTACTTCCAGCATTCTCTGTTTTCATTCTGAATTTTTGGACCAAAGTGCTTCAAGACTTTGAAGGGTTTTTTTTTCCTGCAGTAACTGGATGTACCAGCAGGTTTTCAGTTATGAGGCACAATGCCAAAGCTTGCCCTTCAGAGAAGCACTGAATCAGTCCACACCTGGGAAACTCATCCACGCAGTCGGTACCCTACACCTAAACGGAGGTGGCATCCTGGTTAAGCTTAATTCCACCCTCACACTATGGGGCTTCCAGGTGAAGTCACTGGACACGGGCACAGTCCATGATTTGGTCTTCACTAACCTGAGGTCGGTAAGGCCAATCACAGTAACCTTAATCCCTCACCAGGTGAGTTCAGCTCACTGCGATGCTGTAACTGGGGCCTGAGCGGTGGTGCTCTGATGAGTTAAACAAGCTGAGGAGCCTGAAGTAACACCTCGAACTAACACTCCCCTCGCCAACTTCTGCTTCAGAATTCGATGCCAAAAGCTAAATAGCTAAAACACAAACATGAACCTCGTTTTGTTCAGAAGCTAGGAAGTACAGGTCATGGGTTTGGGTTGTGCTGGGTCTGCAATCCTTTGTGTCAGTGGTAAGCTCTTGTTGTGATGTATCATGTGCTTCAGGGTTGGAACTGAGCCCTGAAAAGGTCCCAGCCGGCGAAAGGAAGGAAATCCTTGGGATCTGAAGGAGAAAGGGTGGAGGGCTCGAAACTTTCAGGATAAGAAAGTGGTGGGGGGAGGCTGACATTCCTGCTGTTTAGGAATTTAAAAGAAAAGAAAACGCCAGCTCCCAAGGCCAGATGTAGTCAGTATCCTTTACAACACTAGTTTCCAACACGCTCTCCTCCCAAGCCCTCCGTTATAGTGTGAAACAACGTTAGAGAATTCGCAACAAGCAAAGAACCGGTCGGCTTAAAGTTCCTGGAGAAGAGATTTCGAGTTCAGTTACTGTTTTGTTTTCCTCTATCGTGAGAATTTCTAATTTTTCTCCAAAGCTCGTTGCTGCCGCCTGTCTTTCAAGAGGGACAGCTCAGACAGCAAGTTGGAAAAATTAATAAGGGAGAATGGGGGTGGTAGGGTAGGGGAGGTTGGGGGAAATAATCGCCAAGCAGTTTTGTTTTTTTTTGGGGGGGGGGAACTCTCGACAGAGATGTGTTTCTACATTTTGTAAATACAAATCCCGCTGCCTGAATAAACTAAATGCCCGGGTCAGGCGGTGAAGTCGAGTTGAGACAAAGCAAAATATATTTGAAGTAAATAAATAAACCGGATGGCGTTTGTGCTTTTACTTCTGGCGCCGATTTCACTCATGAATTCTCCCCAAAAGAGAAAGAGCCAGCATTTCAAGTCACCCCGATCCCATTTGGAAAGCCAAGTCCAGGCTCTGGTACAAATCATAGCGAGGACGTGACGGCAGTACCACGCTATTTCCAATATCCAGGACAGCCTGCTCCACGAAATGAGAAGGGTGTTTTTTTTTTAAATTCCTTAGTCGCCGTCTTCAGCTCATATTTATTAAACTACAAGAAGCCACAAATAGCCGGCGTGTGGTCCACACCTGTAACCATACAATCCCACCACCCCAAACCTCCCACCCCCCCCCCCCCCCACACACATACAAATACACACTTTATAAATGACAGAACCAACCTACACTGAAGCAAATAGCTGAAAGTTAGATTGCAAAGTTTGTGGCGTGCATTTATGCATTTTGTTGTGCGCTGTGGGTTCTGAACACACTAAAAGAAGGTTTGCATCGACAGGGGCTCTCACGGTGTGCTTCCTTGAGGCACAACAGTGTGGCTTCCAAATCTTAGGGGCCGGTCCGCAATCAGACATAGCAAACATTCCTGTCAAAAAAAAAACTCCTCAGCAGCTCACAGTCAAAAGCTCGCAGCACCAAAAACAGCGCAAGGAATCTGTTAGCAGCACGAAAAAAAAATCCTCTGTACATTCTACCAGATCACAGCCTCAACTCAGCTAAGGATGTACGATCGGAAACATTATAAAAAAGCTATTATATATGTTGCGTGGATGTTGTATATAATTAAAAAAAAACACATGAATGAATCCAATTGTGTGCAGGTCATCACACCCAATGCAAAGACAAAACCCAACTCTGCAGTTTATAGATCCTAGCCCTGATCGAGTACACCCATCAAATCCGCAGAAAGGTACACTGCAATTTTTTTTTTAACATATGCTAAAAATACAGAAGGGCGAACCGGGTTCAAAATTTTGCTTCCACTGGCTACATTGTGCAAATGTGCACATTGCAATGTAAAAAAAATAACCTAACCTTTTTCTCCCCCCCCTCCTCCCCACCAACCAGTGAAATGTGAAAACAGCAACTGGAGTGAACTTCACTCGGTTCCAAGTTACAGCATGCCACCCCGCCATGTTAAAGAGAGGGAGGGAAAAAAAAAGTCCGCGCTGACTTCCGAGCTACCTTCGCAAAGCCCAACTTGGTAGCCGGTGATGGAATCGCCATTGAACGGGGGTCGGATCACACACCGGAGGCCGCGGTCACAAGTCCCGTACAGACCGTACACGCCGCCGCAGCTCTCGTTCTTCTGCCGGGCGCAGGCAGAGCAGCAGCCGCAGAAGTCCATCACGATACTCCCGGGGCAGTTCCTGGGCTCCTCGCATTTAGATTCCTCGCACGGTAAGCACACCAGAGCCCGGCCGCTCTGAGCGAACAACTGCAGAAGGTGCACGGCTGCTAGCAACTTGGCAGCCAGGTACATCCCAGAAGGAACCATTTTTTTTTCGCACTGGCTTTCTTTTCTTTTTTTGCAAGCAGCACAACAACAAAAAAAAACTTTATGTACTTAACGCAAAAAAAAAAGCCCACAAGAAAAATCACAGCGAAAGTTTCAAGAGATAAACTCTTCTCGCACGCACGAATACTTCACCGATGGCACAAGGCAAGCAGGCAACGTGCAGTGCGAAATTAACAAAAAAAAATGTTTTTTTTCGCACCACCTTCCTCTTTTCCCTTCAACAATCCAGAATGAAAGTTGCTTTCGGCTGAAAGGCTTCAGAGAAAGTTGTGCCCGGCTTCTTATTTTCTTTCTTCAGCAGCAGTAAGCTCCCCTCTTCCCTCCTCTTCCTCTCTTCAAACAGGATCGGAATGGTCCGCTTCAACACAGAGTTCTTCCCCTCTCAAGGAATTAACAAAAAAAGGAGAGAGAAAATAAAACACACACGGTCTCTTTCTCCTCAGAAGCGATGAGTGGTGGGAGGGGGGAGAGACAGAAATTCTTTGAATCTGGAGCAGAGGCGGACGGGCGGTCTCAGCGAGCGCCTGGTCGGACTGTCAGAGAGGAGCGTCTATTTTTTTATATATACGGTGGGGGTTTTAATTGCACAGCACAGACTGGAGTGGAGTATGTGTGTGAGCCAGTGAGCAGCGCAGCGCTCTGGGTCCGCACTTAGGCGCACACATTGATATATACACACATTGACACACATACACTGCTATCCACACACACACATACACATATTAACACACATAGATACACACTCACATTGATATACACTCACCGATACACACATACAGACACACACATTAATACACACATTGATACACACATTAAAATACACATGAACACACATATACAGATACACACGTTAATACACACATTGACACACTGATACACACTGGTACACTGACATACACTAATACACACATTAAAACACACATTGACACACATCCAGATACACGCAATACACACTGACACACATATATTCAGGTAGACATCAATACACACTGACACACACATACAGATACACACATAATACACACAGACTGATGCCCATACATAAACATACATTCAAATACACATATTCAGATATACATGCATACATATACACATGAATGTGCACACGCTTTGATATACACACAAAAACACAGGTACACATACACACATTAATACACATAGATGCAAACATACAGATACACACACAGATACACATACATAAAGACACATACAGATACACACATTAATACACATACGCAGTTACACACCTACACTGATACACACATTAATACACATACAGATACACACATACGAATACATTGATACACCAAGCAGCCAACCAGCAGCGTCCCCGGCCTCCCCCTCCCCCACCCAAAATGCACACGTCAATCAAACACCGCCGCTATTGTGACGCACCCGCCCCACCCCTTTCCCCGCCTACTCATTGGACAACCCCTGCTGCATATTCAAATAAGACCCGGCCCCCCGTCCGCAACCGGGAGCGCATGCGCGCATTCCACACATTGCTACAAGCGAGAGTAAAGCAACATTTTTGTTTAATCCACTGCAATTGATCTCACTCGTCCCCATCACCAAACCCCTACTACTGTTTCGGAGATCAGTGTCCCCCATCTGGAGGGATATGTAAAGGCTTAACATACACTTCCATACATATATTAAAGAAGGGTATGCTAAATAATAAATGAAAGGTCGGTGGAAGTAATTGCCCTTTTAAAAGCATTTCACAGACAACCAACAAGACTACAAAAGGAAAGAACAGCAATTCCGCAGACGTTAAGGTCCCCAATAAACACGTGAATACAAAGAATCAATCGAATACTCCCCTCCCCGTCAATGAAACACTTCATATTCCAGAATTGCGTATTTGTATTTCAGTTGATCCTTCCACTTTAAAAATATTTTAAGCATGCAGTTTTTACACCCTGCCAGAGCCGGTTCCTATTTGACATTTACGTAAAATCAGGGTTTGAAATGACTGCAAGATTCAGTGACTGGTTGTACTGTACTTCAAAGGAAGAGGGGTTGACTCGCGAAACACAGCTGAACTGAAATTACAGAAGTAAGCGAGCTGTGTGAAACAGCCCACAATGATAGGTCATTTATGTATAAAAAAAAAACTCGACGAAAGTTTTAAATATTTGAAACTCCAGCAAACGTGCCCCACACCAACTCCTTCCTCCGGGTCCAAATAAACATACGCCACAAATAGCCGCAGTGATGCTGTGAGTAAATGAGGGAAAGAGGAATTTTCTGACAACATTCCAGCGGTATTACTCAAATAGTTTTCCCACGTGGGGTTTCAGTTAATCCTGCTTCCAGTTCATGCAGGACGGAAACAGAGAAAGAAAAAAAAGATACCCAACCACCTTCCACTGCGTTAAGAAGCGAGCAGTCGGTTAAATCGTGGAGAGAAAGGGTAGACTATTTGACAGCGTTTTGTTTGGAAACACGCAGGAAAATGAGGCCGGCAACTGTGCAGAGGTTGTTGTTCAGTTATCAGTGCAGAGTGAGCGAATCCACCAGCGTGATGCCAATTTGTGCTTGTCCCAATTAAGTGCCCTGGCACTGCAAGCCTCCAGAGATAATGAAAAGGGTTCCAACGTCTACCAGATCATTTTAACTAGAACCGAGTGAAGCCATAGTTAAACTGAATTGGGCGAACCAGATGAAAAGTCTATTTGAATAAATATTAGATTCTGTCAGTGGCCCTTACTTGACCCATATGCAGACCTCGCAAGTTGCTTTGAACAAAGATGATATTCGTTCACTTCATTCACTTGAACTAAAATGTAAATTAATGTGAAATATGTTATTCTTTAAAACAAACACATTTCCATATGTGTAAACTGATTTGCCATCTGGCTCACTCTCTGTGATTATAAATCTCATTCCTCCAGGGTTCACATCTCAATGCTACAAACCACACTACAGAGCAGCAGCAAGCCAATCCGTTGACCCAATGGTGACCTAAACGTGAACATTTTGGGACAGGATGCGCGGGAGTCTTATCAGGAAGACATTTAAAATAAAAAGAAAACCCTGCATTTATCTCACATCTTTCAGGATCAGTGGATGTCTCAAAGTGCTTTACAAGCAATTAATTACTTCTGAAGAATATTTGATTTGATTTATTATTGTCGCAAGAACCTAGGTACAGTGAAAAGTTTTGTTTTGTGTGCAGCACAGGCAGGTAATACCATTCAAAGTTCACAAGAACATTCATTTGATGTAGTGTCTGAAATTTAAGAGATTTCAATTCTGCATATAGGATACTAGATCTGTCCTTGAATGTTCCCAAAACAAGCCTCATATCAATCCACACTCAGTGAACCAAATATTCCACCTCCCAAACATATTTATTAAGAGACTCTGAATATGTTGAGCACATCCCACACTTTGGCAACCTCCTCTCTCAAAAAGGCTACCACTGATGAGGGTAGCGACACCTGACCAACTGTATGAGCTCAGTCTTCTATAAACTACAGCAGTGTTTGACAAGGCACTGGCAAGTCAACATCAGTAATAGCGTACAGAGCAGTTGTTGTTACCACACTCCTGTATTGCAGTTACTGTGTATCAGTGACAGATAAAGAGGAGAAATTTTACCAACAATGCCTCTGCCGTATCCTCAGTAGTCATTAGTTGAACAAAACTAACATACTTCCCCATGCCACCCGGACAAACATTCAGGCAAAATGCCAAAAGCACCTTTAATGGACTGACACCATGTCTGGATTTTGAATATTGTCTCCATCCTAGATTTTCCCAACCTTCAAATGGTCAAAGTTTCAGGTGAGGATAAATTCCAGCAGTATTGACCTTAAAGGTTGGGAGGAGCTTGCTACCAGTCTTTCAAAAAGGTGTTGAAAAAAGTTTAAGTGTATGTTGGCCCTTATTTCAAGGGGGTTGGAGCATAAGAACAGGGAAGTCTTACTGCAACAGCACAGGTGCTGGTGAGACCACACCTGGACTACTGTGAGTGGTTTTGGCCCCTTTCTTTAAAGAAATATATTATTTCATTGGAGGCTATTCAGAGAAGGTTCACTCAGATGATACCTGGTATGGAGGGATCATCTGTTCAGAAAAGACAAAACAGGTTGGGAGTCAACACACTGGAGTTTAGAAGGATGAGAGTTGACCTCGTCGAAACATATAGGATTCTTAAGGGGGCTTGACGGGGTAAATGCTGACAGAATGTTTCGCCTCCTGGGAGAGTCTAGGACCAGGAAGTAGAGTCTCAAAGGTGTGCCAATTTAAGACTGAGATAAAGAAGAATTTCTTCTCTCAGAGGGTTGAATTGGAACTCCTTGCCAAGAGCAGTAGGGGCACAATCCTTGTGTATATGTAAGGCTGAGATAGATAGATTCTTGAACAGTTGGTGAATCGAGAGTTATGCGGAAAGGGCAGGAACGTGGACATAAGGAATGTTGGATCAGTCATGATCCCATTGAATGATGATGCAGGCTCATGGGGCTAAAAGGCCTTCTTCTGTTCCCATTTCTAATGGTCTTTTTATGGACTAAAAGGAACCAAATCCTGTTCTGCAGTCCCCACTATCATATGGGTCATCTGTCCCATATGGAAGAACTGCAGGCCAAGGTTTGGCCTGTTCAGCCTCATGAAGACTCACAGCAGATCTTGAGATCCTGAATAGATGTCATCGTTGATTCAAAGGTCAGCTGATAGATACCCAACACATAGGAAATCAGAGGTTCCAACTCTGTGATGAGATTGGAGAAGGCTGGGCATGGGGAAAGTCAAGGGCACCTAACAGAAGTATCGGATGCGAGGTTTCAATAAGGTAAGTTGAAAGTATTTCCTCTTGTGATTTGATAGCGAGAGGTTACATATTTAAAATAATTGGAAAAAGAATCAAAGAGGAAATGAAGAATTTTTGTCATAGATTTAGCAGATATTATTTAAATGGGTGACAGAATCAGATTCCATATAAACCTTAAAAAGACACTGGGCAAGTATTACGAGAGAAATAATTTTCAGGGTTTTGGGGAAAATGCTTGGATGTGGGATTAATTTCAAGAGCTCCTTTAAAGAGCCATCGTAGGTATGATGGCTTGAATGGCTCACTTCTATGTTGTAGGATACTATGGGCGAAATTATTATTTTGGAGTAGGGAAGTAGGTTCAGGTATGGCATGAGAAACCTAAAGTCCTGGTGCTTATATGAATCTTAATTGGAGCATTGCAAGGGCGGAGGGCAGAGTGGTCAATGTGACAGTAAGATGGAGAATTAAAATTACACCCGACTGGAAATTCAGGGTTATAGTTCGGCCTGAGTCTTGGTGTTTTGTAAAGCGGTCACTGAATCCATGTTTGGTCTCCACAACATTAAGCACACTGTGAGCAGTGCTGTCTAGATGAATGAGGAGTGGCCAGGCCATCATGAGAGAACAATGCCTTGAGAAAACTGAACCATGAAGTTTGTTTGATGGTATTTGTGGCAGAATGGCAGTGGAGGCTGGTGGGGTAGGAGGGGAAGATGACAGAAACCCCACAGGTTTAGGGAGGGAGGATTTGGACCTCATATTTCAAAGTGACACGTTGCAACTTTCTGGACTCAACACTGAGTCTAACAATTTTGGGTCCTAAC